AAATTAAATAGTTCTAAGAAAAAATTGATTTAATCAAATTAAAGAACACGCTAAAAGAAATCAATAAATTTAAAATTATTACTAATTCAAGAGATATTAAAATTTGAACTTATATGTTTAATTATGTCTATTTGGATACTTCCCTCCCCAAATTCAAGCACAATTTATAATCCAACACAAGATTAATTTTCTCATAATTTGTTGTGTGCATAATTCAAGTAATATTAAATTCAATATACATTTAAAATTTTAAAGCATCCATTAGGGCTAATTTTGATTATGATCTAAATAGTAGAACCGATTACTTATAACTCTGGTCAAATTCGTCGATCGTTTGGCCAAATTCAAAATGTTTTTGATTCTGAATTTGGCCAAATGTTCTGTAAAGTTGACCAGAGTTATAAATAATCAGTTCCGCTATTTAGATCACAATTAAAATTAGCCCTTATGCTCTACTATATGTCTACATAAATGTATAAATACTTAGAATAGGTTAGTTATTGACAGCTTTAATGTAAATAGATGAATACAGATAATCCACGGCAAAGAACCGATATACTGTCGGCCTAACATATTACCTCGAACAATTTGAAATTAAATAAGGCGTGTAGCTTTATAAATATAATGAGTGTATAAATGCATAAATACTGAATTTTCGCAATAAAAGTCTAATCTTCGATTGATTCAAAAACCACACTATAGTCATCAACTTAATAAAATTTTTCTATCCGGTCAAATCAAATTTTAAGATCAAATGTAACATAAAATACATTCGAACCCTAACATTAATAAAGAAATTTTTTAGTTTAGTGACTTTGGTGTTGGAATCTTAGATTTAAGCGATTATCTAAGTCGAATAGTCAGTGTTAACCTATCCATAGTCTTTTGTACATGAACTATTGAGCAGTAGATGTATTACATTACGATAATTAGTCGCAATACTAAATTAGCACGCTAAATTCATTAACGAAAATTTAGTTCATATGCTTACATATTATTTATATAGCGATAATTATCAATCTCTTTTATTTGTATTAGAATAAACATGATTGTCTGTATCTGAGAGAATTTGACGACTTATATCAGAGTAAACCTGACAATTTGTATCAGAACAAGCCTGATTATTTGTGTTTATTAATGAGTTAGGCATCTTTGCTTTACGCCCTCTGTATCTTCGGTATGATATAAAGCCCGCCACTGATACGCTAACAAAAATGAAAGCACATATTATACCAATTATCATTGGTCCATAGGACAAAAAAAGACTTTTAACTGTAAGATTCGTTAAATGCGTTATGAAATTCATTAAGATTGCATTGTCAGTGTCTCTAGTGATATCGAAAATTGCAATTCCTGATGCATTAACCTGCTGTACAAACTCAAGTTTGTATTGTAGTGATTGAAAGTCTTCATAAGAAACGTAATAAAATCGTGTAGAAGAATTTTGTTGTTGTAGATAAATATATGGCTGTTGTGCTATATAATCAAAGCCACGTGTCCATGGAAAAGAAGCCTTTTCGTAACAAGGCGGTGATAATGTTTTACTCAAATTTTTCCATGACCAAGATGCATATTCTGAAACTCTACACGGATCTGAAATCAGTTCGTCAGAAAATGGGTATTGAATATTTGTTTCATTAATAATTGTAAGGTTGTTATTAATAGTATCGCTTGTAATATTATTAGAATTAATCAATTCAACAATTCCACCAAAATTGATTCCCAAAACAAGATTTGATATGCCTATGCTGGTATTCCAAACATTAAAAATTTTTTGAATATTATCTATTCCAGCACTTGTACATTTGGAATTAATATTAAGATAAAATGCCTAAAATTTCATAAATAAGTTAGTTTTATTTGTCATCAAACACATACGAACGGACGGATATTTCATGATTTAATAAGGATTCATAATGACATCGTCTAAAAAAAAATAAAAAAGGTCGAAACTACCTGAATATTTACAAAACTGGTAATGCTAGAGTTTAAACCAGATATTGGATATTGGCCCGCCGTCACCGTTAGAATCTTATTAATCGGTTTCAATTTCTTTGAAATATCAACTAGGAACTGTGTGAAAACATAATCTAAATAAGTAGCATTGAATTGTGTTGCTTGAAAGCATGGAAACTTATTAGGATAATCAATATCAATCTATAAGTTAATCAGCCATTAGTTAATATTAATGGATATTAAATAATGTAAAACAAAAATTAGTTAAACTTACTCCATCAAACGAATAATCACTAACAATTGCTACTAATTCATTAATGAATTGCTGAGTAAATGGACTGGTCAAATCATACTGTCCAACAGAAACATTAGCAAATGGAGGTATTTTTGTTAAATTATCATCAGTAGGCAACAAGACCGAAATAATTAGCTATAAAATGGTTAGTCATGATGATTAGAAACATTAGCTATGAAATAAATAGCCAATATGATAAGAAGCTTTTATAATTTAAATATATATTTACTTTATAATTTAAATTACTATTTTTATCCGTATAGCTTCTTAATTCTTGAAATTTATTGTATTGATTTTGAAAAACTTGATATGGACCAGTACCATTAGTAAGATCAGTTGGACCAAATGCTACGAGAATTTAAGGTAATATTTGTTAATTTAATCTATATATGTATTATAAAATTACAATAATTTAACTTACCAATATAGTATAAATGAGTAATTGACGAAATAATTTGAAAATTATATGTTTCTAAATTATATTTATAAGCAGGAAAAAATCCAACAATAGTTTTTGGTTGTGAATTTGGAGTCAGCCTACAATTCTGACTGAAAACTTCACTAGTCATAATTAATATGAAAACAAGTACTGTAAACTCGTAAAAAGAATGAGCTTTCATAGTTAATTATAAAAAGCATAAAATTTTAGCATCATTTCGATTTTTAACAGCTATCCTACCTTATTAGCGCTATAATAAAATTTGTATGATGCTAATTAGCACAAATTGGGCATATTTTAACAGTTGTCGTTTAAGATAGGGTATGTAGATCATTTATCATATGATTTTAGTAGTACAATAAGATTTATATAGAAAATAAAAATATGCTACTAATAAAACTTTTTATAGTCGTAATTAATTTTGACCAAAATTTTATAATATATAAAACAAAATGCCCTTTTTATAATAGTAAAATTTTAATAGATAAAGTATTTAAAAAAATTATACTTCGATATGATGTTAAATTTCTCCTCAATTGACTAAAATTTTCCCCAATTACACAAAACGATTAATTTTGATTGGCTGATATCGTAAACAACTTTTTGATACCTAAAATTTAAATATTCATATCTCGATGAATATTTTACAATTTTAATAAATTTACCTGCTCTATAATGTTACTTAGTAGCCCTAAAATGATTTGATTAATAAAATTTTGTAAAATTTTAAAAAGAAAAAATAAATACTATGAGTTTTATATACAATTTACAATTTATACCCTCTGCCCTTAATTTTATAAATAAAACTAAGTGCATAAAGATAGAAATTTGGGGTTAGTACGTTAACATTAGAGTCTATAGTTATAGATTGTATTCATTATACATATGAAACTTCTTTCTTGTCATTTTTAGTTAGTGTACCACTAATAGTATGTGTTAAAAAATTTTTCTTGCCATGTATATTTTCTTTCACTTTTCTATATGTACCGTTTGATTCATTACACTAGGTAGTATTTGGATATGTACGAATTCAAGGCCCTGGATCTGGGTTAAGCCCATGATTGGGTTTGAGACCCATGCCAAGGGTTTGAAACTCTGATCTATAGACATTTATCCATTGGATATCCGATATTTGTTGGATAATTAGATAACTGGATTAATGTGGATGAATAACCAGATTATTTGATAAATTATTCGGATTATGTAACAATGATACAAGGGATACAGTATTAATGCAATGGTACAGCATTAATGCAAGTGGTGCAAATAGTGCAATATTAATATAAGAAGTGCAGTATCAATGCAAAAGGTATTAATGCAAGGAGAGGTTAGAGGTTAGGGATTTTATAATTTCCCCAAATTTCTATTTGCTAGGACTATCACTTTCTTTTTATATGTAACATCTTAATCGAAATATGGATTAGGGTAAGTGGGCAGCATTATGCCAAAATTTTGCAAGGAATTTTTTTTTTAGTACTGTAATTGAACAGGCCGATTTATCGCTAATAATTACGGGAAAACCTAAACTTTTGCAACTTAGAGATAGGTTTTAATTTTTCTTAATAAAGGTCTCTTTGGCTCTACACTAGCTTACTTCCTTTATCATTACAGGTAAAATTGAAGGGAATCTCTGTCTTTATTAAACTCAAAAGCTATGCTTAGATACATTTAGGTCAACTATACTACTCGTTGACGTGCTACGCGTTAACGTGCTACGCGTTGGCATGTTAGAAATTACCAATTTTCAACCCACCATGTTGACGTATTATCTCGAACTCTCGAAATTAATTAACATTTATCCCTTATTGCACGGTAGCGTGCTACACGTTAACGTGCTACACGTTAGTGGCGATGTAATAATATAGGCAATTATACGCTTCCACCTCGATATTGACCAACATTTAATGATTTATACAAAAATGGAAATGAAAGTTATTTATACTAAATAACTAGATCAAGGAATAATATTACCTTTGATTCAATATAAACTTATATAAAATAAATATATGATTGTTACATCGTAAGCTTGCATTAAATCACACAAAAATAAAATCAATAATACTTAAAGTATGAAATAATCGTACAAAAAATTTCTTATAAAAAAATTGCA